TTGTTCAATGTTCATCCTTCAATTCAAAAGTAAAACATAATTAAATCAACCAATTATTAATTAATTGAGGTTTAAATTTTAATATATTAGTATTTAGTAGACATATGGAATCTAGTTGTGCATTGTGATGGAATTGATATTTAATCTACTGTTGATTTAAATATTTTTAATTCAATCTTATATTAGTATATTAAAAAAAATCATACCCTTGGAAATGGAAGGTTAAGACTTGAGAGTGGAATGATATTGTATAGATTGACAACAAATATTCTTGGTTAATTACGAATTTGGTAAACTTATCTTCGATTCATTAAGCATACTTATCCACATTATTTCTCTCACATAGATCAGCCTAATGAAATGAAGTATCTTTCCTCTACTAAAAATCAAAATACGAATTTAGATATTATATAAGAATATTTTTATATAAGAATATTTTGTTTAGTTTAAATGTCCGTGATCATGAATTTTTAGATCTTATAAATTTGAAAGATATCATGAATATATCAAAACTACAGTAAAAAGGGGTCAACCCAAAATGACATGTATTTTAAATTCACTAAATTAATTAAAATACCAAAAAAGAATTAGTTTTAGAAAAGGAAAGGGTAGGTGGGAATGTATTTGTTAGACATCCTAATCATTAAGATCTCATTAGATAAAGAAGATGTGTTGTGACAAATATGAAAAAAGGGGGCAATAATGGCATCACATTGGAATGAGAATTTGTTTCCATTTATGCTTAGCATTTATTCAATTTGATTTTGTTATATGCAAATTTGATCGTTTTTTGAAACGGCGGAAATATATTAGCACCAGTCTTTAAAGAAACAAGGCTGGACAGAAAAATAAATTACAAAATGTCAAAAAGATTACAACTCCATACACACCAATTACAATCACCAAACTTGCCCCTATATTTTACCCAACTGAACACCAAGGTGATTATGCTATCCGTCAAATTTAACGAAGTCCTAGCATTATCGAAGACTTTTGCATTCCTAGCTTTCCATCCACACCATAGAAAACCATAAATGATAGCAATGAAAATTTGTCTCTTCTTTGGACACCTCCCTCATTGTGCAGCAAATCCCACTAACTCAGCCACCGAATTGAATTGCTGACCTGAAATTTGACACCAGTTTAGGATCCAACTCAGCGCACCTCTTGCGATCGGGCAATCAACAAGAATGTGGTTAGCTTCATCCATCCCATCATTACAGGAATGACAAGACGAGATCGTGATATTAACTTCTCTCATAGCCAGAGCCGTCGAAGTAGGGATTCGATCTAAACAAGCTCTCCAAACAAAACAAATCACGTTTGTCGGCACCAAGGAGATCCACATAGTTGGATTTTGAACTGGACGGGTGACCTTTAAATTGATCAGCTGCCTTAGGTCGCGGACAAAGAAAGAACCATCTTTCGACAGTTTGGATCTCCAAGTATCTGCACCACTTGAAGTATGAGCCCCCATAATAATGCCTTCCAACTTGATAAAATCAGTCGCCTCCATTTGATCCATGACCGCCCTTTTCCAATTCCAGTTTGGTTGATTGCCACAGAGCCGCTCAGAAACGAAAGTTGATTTCTTTTTATCAAGATTTATAAGGCGAGGACAAATCGAGGCCAAAGATCCTTGGCCGGTCCAATTATCATACCAAAATAAGGTATCCGAACCATCACCAATGTGAATGTCGAACAAAGAAGAAAATGTAATTCCAAGCTCATCCAATTCCATCCCGGCTTTCACCACATCCATCCAAGCCCCTGGCAACGATTTTTTACCCCATTTTTCAAACGGTTTCCTACCCAAATTGTGAATACCGTGTACCACATGTCTCCATAGGTCGTTGGGTTGAGATTTATAACGCCATATCCATTTAACCAAGAGAGCACGATTCATAGCAAATAGAGAACCGATGCCAAGTCCTCCCAAATTCTTAGGGCCAAGAATCACATCCCAGGCCACCCAACAAATTTTATTCTTCTCTCCAAGACCGCCCCATAGGAACTTTCTTCTAATTTTCTCCAAATTCTCAACAACCACTTTTGGGGCTTTAAAGATGGATAAAAAAGACAAGGGAAGACTACCAAGGACCGCTTTAGTCAAAGTCATCGCCAAAAGAAAGAAAATTAGCTTTCCATGAAGCAAGCCTTTTGTGCACCCGATCGATAACCGGCATCCAGTTTCTTTTTAACGCCATGTTGGCCCCCACCGGGACACCGAGATAGTTGAACGGTAAACTGGCAGCCTCACATCCGATGATGGCTGCACATCTAGCAATCTCAGAGTCTGCAACTCCAATCCCAAAGATTTTAGATTTGTGAAAGTTAACTTTAAGACCGGAGGCCGCGTGAAAACATCTAAGAACCCGAGCCAAGTTAACGAGATTTGTATTGGTCCATTCTCCCATAAAAATAGCACCATCAGCGTAGAAAAGATGGGAGATCTCGGGACCATCTTTGGGAATTTTTATACCTTTAAATAGTGATTTTTGGCAAGCGGATTTTAAGGCAACATTAAGCCCCTCCATGGTTATAATGAAAAGGAAGGGAGAGAGAGGGTCTCCTTGACGCACTCCTTTAGTAATAGGAAATTCTTTCGTGGCAGCACCATTAATAAGAACTGACGCTCTTAACGAAGCAAGACAACCTTTGATCCAAAATCGCCAAGTATTACTAAAGCCCATTTGGACCATCACCGAATCAAGGTAGCTCCAAGTAATCGAGTCGAAAGCTTTGTCGAAGTCGACCTTAAAAAGAAAAGTCTTGTGTTTTACTTTTTTTGCCCACGTGCACACCTCGTTGATGATCATGGGACCATCCAAGATGCTCCGACCTTCAATAAAAGTCGTTTGAACACTATCAATCACCGAGCTAATGACCTTCTTTAATCTTGCAGCGAGCACTTTAGCAATAACTTTGTACACACAACCGATAAGGCTAATAGGACGAAATCAACAAGAGAAAGCGGGTCCTTAGTCTTCGGTAATAAGGTAAGAAAAGAGGAGTTACTGCCTCTTGCCAAAACGCCATAGTTATCGAAAGGCTTGACACAACGCATAACATCATCCTACATAATAGGCCAGAAATGTTTAATAAATTTGAATGTGAAACCGTCGGGGCCCGGTGCTTTCTCGCTACCACAGTTCCACACAGCCTCCTTCACCTCATTAAGCTCGAACGGTGCATCCAAAAGAGCTATATCTCCCTCACCTAACTGCTTAAAATTAGGATTAATAAGAAGAGGCCTATCATGCCGAGACTCCCTGAATTTAGAGGAAAAAAATTTAAAAGTTTGCCGTTTAATGCAATCGAGAACAGTGATGCAATGCCCGTTAATCATAAGCCCCTGAATATTATTCCTCCTATTCTTGATTTTGATCGCTTTGTTGAAGAAACTTGAATTCTCATCCCCATCCAAGATCCATTTGACTTTTGATTTCTGTCTAATATCAAGACTTTTAATTTTTTCCAGCTCCATCAGACGTTTATTCTTCCGCCATTCACCTATTTCAGTCAGGTGTAGCTGCCTATATTCAGCCAAAGCATCCAAAACATTCAATATTTTCCTTATATCATTCAATTCCTGATTTTCTTTTTCAGAATCAACACGTTTCCATTCTTTAATGACATTTTTTACAAAACACAATTTATCAGATAGGTATCGGTCGGGAGTCCCATCGCCAACGAAGTTGCTCCAGGCATGAATAACAACCCTTTCGAGTTAATCCTTAAAAAGCCACAAATTAAAAAAGAGAAATGGATGTGGACCGAAATCCAATAGCTCGGTGCGGAGATTGATCGGGGAGTGATCGGAATATTCTCTTGGAAGAGCAGTGACATAAGCAGATGGGAAGGAAATCAGGAAATTGGGGAAAACCAAAAAATGATCTAGCTTGCTCAATTTATACCCGTCATCGCAAAAATAAGTGAAGCGCCTGCCACCCATGTTGAGATCCAAAAGTCCCGCATCTGCAATGAATTTATTGAAGGTAGCCGCAACAAAGGGGCAGAAGTTGGAATTAAACCATTCATCCGGTCTCCTCACAACATTAAAATCCCCAAACAATACCCAATTACCAGGTCTAGATTTCATGAGATTCAATAGATTGTCCCAAAGAATTTTTTAATCTGATGGGGGTTGCGGGGAATAAATATTGACAAAGATCGTTTCTCCCTGTATGTCGGTCCAGTATCCAACAATAGGCATGAAATATCTGGATTTAATAATTGCAATATCATGAAATAAGGATTTGTCCCAAAAACAAATAAGCCCCCCTGATCTGCCATTTGATTCAACAAAATCAACACCAACATTCTCCAAACCCCACCAATTACAGATGCCAAAAGGAAGAGAGGATAATCTAGATTCTTGAATCCCACAAAATGAAAACTTCAATTCTTTTTTCAGCCTTTTGAGCCACTCAATTTTGCTAGAGCAGCCCATACCCTGTATATTTAAAGAAAGCACATTCATGATGATACCCTTTTAACACCTCCTCCGTTAACGACATCCAACAATGCATGACTACCCATTTCAACTTGAAACCCAACCTGATTGCCCACATCTACAGTATGTAATAATCCGGTAGAATAAGAGGAGGAATGGGAAGGAGAACCTGTATTTCTACCATTGATACCAGATGTGTGGGAAGGTGAGTCACACCGATTCAAATCAATGGAAGATAAAGGATTTTTATCCAGTAACTTATCTGAGCTATGCTGATCTGCTAACGGAATTGAAGATTGGGGCATCTCCCCTTGATTTTTACTTGCTTTCTTAAATTTGGTACGCCTTCTCTTAAGTGCAGAGTCGCCTAACTCAAAGTCTGGGCTACTAGACGCCTTGTTTGACCCAGGCAAGGAATTGGGCTCAGGCTGGCAAGGCCCAATATAAGAGTCTTCCTCGATTACTAGATCGTCCGACCTACGACCTGCTTCGTTCAAATTCATACCAAGATCAGAGGACTTATTGTGTGGGTAATTAATACCTGCATGGGAATCAACCATAGCCGACAATCTGTTGGTGCAACCCTCCTTTATTTTCTGAGACTCATCGACTTCCAGCACGTTTGTGGATTGGATCGTCTCATCTGTGCCACCGTCGATGGGAACTGCCGGAGCAATTGGTGAACCCCCGCCTCTGTCACAATTCAGGTTTCGATCAATTTCAATTTCTCCATCCTCCAAGTCCATTCCATCTTGATGCCATGTATATGAAACTCCATCGCCATCATCTTCCTCGTCGCTAGAGCCCAACACCGACCCTGAAACAGTTGTCTTGAAAGGAGATCAGTCATCATTAAACTCAGCAACTCCGATCTTGAACAAGGAATCTCCAAACTTGACCTCAAGAACTTCATTAATTCTCATTTGGATAGCAGTGAGAATGCAAACATTCCCATGAGACACATCTGAGCAATTCCATACAGGACTGGCATTCACTAGAACCTTCCCAAAATTTCCGGCAATAGCCGTGAAATTAGATTCATCCCAAGCCAGAAAAGGGATTCCGGTAATTTTTAGCCATGCAATTCGTTCATAACGAGCGCACTTTTTCCCATAGGGCTCCACCCAACTGAACCAACGAAGCCATTTGCTTTTATTGGATTTAAAGATTCTTGCTGCCCCATCTGATTTGAATTTGATTAATATCTGCATACCTCCCAGATACTTAGTCTCCACCACATCGTAACCCTCTAAGGCCACCAGGGATGGAAAATTACATAAAGAGTCAAAACATTTGGCTTCTCCAACCAATACATCCTTAGCAACCCAATCGTTCAGCTCATGAATACTAGATAGAGTAATAATAGGATTATTAGTGGCACCAACTAGATTCTGATTACCTCTAGCAACTTCAGCAAACGTTCTAGAGTCCCTTTGTTGCCCGGCATGGATGGGTTGCCTAACTGGAGGTCTCAAAGGCTTGAAAACCCCATACCGTTTCACCACCCTTGGGTGCCCTTATGTAGTGGATGTCGTCACAAATTATAGAAAATCATTTATGTAAGATTATCGTATGAGAAGTTAGATGTGAATTACGTCTGTGACGGGTTGAGGTCGTGTACCATTCACGTTATCCTTCTAACCAAGAAAATAGTAAGTGTAAATCACCTTTTTAATGAATTATATATATATATATATATATA